GTGGTGGGTTGGTTGAAAAATCCTGAAGAGGCTATGTGGCGTTACAAGAATGAAATGAAGAAATTTAGTTGGTTGACAAGGAATATGTTGGTCACTGTACAGCAGGTGGGGAGATCAGCAAATACTTTGTCAGATGTGTTAACTAAGCAAGGGGTAAATAGGGAAGAATTGTTTTGGGCTCARTTVTGATTCTTGYTTTTCTTTCCTAGTTTACTTGTAAGATTCAAGGAGGGGCTGCAGCTCGCGCCTCTCCCTGGGATGTTGTATGAACTCACTCTAAATCTGCTTCTAAATTAATAAATTTATTATTGTTCATCAAAAAACCTCGTAGATAGATTTCCAGGGAGAACTTGCTGATGAATTAGGAGCCACTTTAGTATCCCAGCCATTGTCCAGAGTACCATGAATATTCATAATGACCTTATGCCAGAGCCTATCCCTTCCTAGTAGTAAGTTTCACAGCCTTTTTCCCAAGCAACGCAGTATTTCTATGTAGAAAACTTCTTATCCCCAAACCACCTTGCTCGTTGGCCCTACACACCACTTCCCATTCAACCAAGTGGTGCTTCCTTTCATCCCCCAGTTCTCATAGAAAATCCCTCATGTACTTCTCTAACTTCTTTGCCAGCTTGATTGAGATGCGAAAAGTTGAAAGGAAATAAATGGGTAAGTTGGCCATCGTGGATTTAATAAATGGTATCCTTCCTCCAAGCAATATAGTTCCTTTTCCACAAGGCCAACTTTATTGAAAACCTTTCCAGCACTGGTTTCCAAAATCCTTTTGTCCTCAGGTTGCCACCCAGGGGGGAGACCAAGGTACTCCATCAACCAGGATTTAACTTCAAACCCCAATAAATTTGCACAAGGGATCAGCTTGTCATCTTGCATGTTAATTCCTGCCACTCCACCCTTAGATTCACCCTTAAATTAGAGACTTTTTCAAACAGAGAGGTTAACTCCTCTACTCTTATAACAAGTGCTCGGAATCATGATTTGGTTTAAAAACCAATGTTTTCTTTACAGCCCCAATTTGAGGGGGAGTATAAAGCAGATGAGACATAGATTATAGTAAAATATTGAATCATTACATACAACTATTTCTTACATATTTTATTAGTCCCCCTTGAATTCTCTGTTTGGTCCCTTCCCAGTTCCCAGAGATCTTCTTGTAATTGCATATACATAATTATTCTAACATAAGTAGGCCTTTGTGTGGTATGAGCCAACTTAACTTGACAGACCCATATGTTTCTGTTTGGCTCAACTTCTCTTCAAGAAACTTACAAGCATCAATCCTCTTAAATTAACACTCATAATACAGGTACAACAGAAACCCCAAAAAATTATTTTGCACTAGTTCCCCATTGACTAAAAATAAGTCTATCATGTTTCTGATTACCACAATACCACTTAGTAGGGTTAACCAGGCACAAAACAATTTTTTTTTTATCATCCAGGCACAAAACAAATTTAACACATGTCAAAGTAAAATAGATCACTTTCATAAAGTTAGTTTTTTCAGAGCTCTTCATCTTCATTCACTGCAAAAAGTTAGAAATGTGGTGCCAATAATCATTTGAAAAATAAATTATAAATTTTCACAAAATATTGGAATAAAAAAATCCAATACTAACCGTGACATTATATTTGAAATAGAGATCGAGAGTTGTTGAGAAATAACTGAACTCATCTTGTATTACTGGAAATGAACAAGTCCCGTGTTTCTCTGCAATAAAATGTATCAAATGGATAAGGATCAAATGCAAATAGAAAATAAAACAGTTATATAGCGATGCAACATGCGTAGTCATCACCAATTTGGTTTTGGACCCATTACCTCAGGCTTCCCTTACTACTCATGTGACAAACTATAGTGGATTCTCTTCCTACAAGACTGCTATCCACAGCCAGGGTTTAAGCACACAACAAGAAGCCAATTGATGAGCCCTAAAATGAAAGATAAAGAGAACCTAACCTTGTCTCTCTATAAAATATAAATGTTCATATTCTCTTTCATTTGAAGTTAGAGGAGCAATGAATGAGAACTTAAGTTTTAGTTATTTGTGACTCTTGGAGTTGAAGCACGAAGGTAGATTCCTCATTTGGTGGCAACACCACTAGGCACTTAATTTACTCTCTCATGTTTATAAAAAATGAAGCATTAAAATCAATGTCCTAAAGTTTTATTCTCCCCCCCCCCCTCTCCCATTTCCATCCATACTTAGTCTCTAAGGTGGGGAACACTCAATTAGAATATGATTCTACTCAAATGGGGTAAATTTTGAAATAGAGTGCTTCAAATTATTCATTCATGTACCTCATTTTTTTATAGTAAAGAAAAAAATCATCAAAAAATAAAAAAGATATTACAAGAGAAAGGTGATAAGAAATCACCCGAAGGAAGAACCAAATCACCCCTACACTATGATGCAACCTTACAAACATAGAACCCAGACCAAAAACAGGATTCCACCTCCCAAGGAACTGTGGGTGTCCATAAGGAGGTAGTGGATGACCACCAGAAGCTTTACAAGGAGAATTCAAACCTGGGTAAGCTACAGATTTGTGGGAGCAAACACAAGGGTGAGTCCCGAACAAGAAGATCTTTTCAACAAGAACCTAATTCTGGGACAGGTGGTGATCCCCAAAATTTTGGACAAGAAAAATTAGCCAAGACCTCTTGTATCCTTCTTGTTCCTACCCCTGTGCCTATCCCAGGGTAGTGTGTTAATTCTGTTTCTGGTATTAACCTCTGCTCTATGTCTGAAGTTTGTCTTCCAGGTTCCCAAGTTGCCATCAAGCCGCAAGCCCAAGTTAGTGAATATGTAGGAAAGAATGGGGTGGAGGAGTTAAAAGATGAAGAGGAAAGAGGGAGAAGAGTTTGGGAATTAATAGTGGAGTTTTTTGAAGAATTAAAAAGGAAAGAATTGGAAGAGGAAATCAATATTTCTAAAACAAGAGGAGGAACTTTACTTGTTAATGTGATGGAAGTTGATGAAATCTGTGATAAGGGTAGGGAGAAGGAAGAAGGTGAGAGAGTGTGAATGAGGGTGCTAAGGAAGACTCAGTGGCTGAATTTGTGGGGAAGTTAGGGTGCAAAATTAAGAACCCGAATGAATTGAAAATCTACCTAAGAAAAAGAAAGGAGGAAGGAAAGGTCAGGAAAAAGAGGAGACAAAGAATTTAGTGAAAGAAAGGGGAGGAGAAGAGGAAGCAATTAGAGGAAAAACAATGAAACAACAGGGGTGGATAGGAAGCCAGTTAGAAATGAAGATAATAAGTTGGAATGTGAGAGATTCGGGAAATGCAAGGAAGAGATCTATAATAAAGTACTAAGGAAAGAAGACCCAGACATGTGATTTTTCAGGAATCTAAGTTAGAAAATTGACATTAGGTGGGCTAGAAGCGTATGTAAGGCAAGGGGAATTAGCTAGGCAATGAGTCCATCATGGGATCTTCGGGGGGTAGGGTGTCATTATGGAAAAATGAGATTCTGGAAGGAGTTGAAGAACTTGTTGGAAGATTTATAATGTCCATTAAGTTTTGGCAGATGGCAGATGGTTTTGAATGGGTGTTGACAAATATCTATGGCCCAAATGGATACAGGGAGAGAGAGGAGATGTGGGAGGAATTGGGAGATATCGAAGGCCTTTAGGAGGGGCCATGGTGCATAGATGGAGATTTTAATTTATAGATTTGAGACAAACAATCCAAGGCAAAGAACCACTACAAGTACGAGGAAATTCAATGACTTTATAAACAATTCTGAGCTAAAAGAATTGGTTCTAGTGCACAAAGTTTCATTTGGTCTAACCTCCAAGAAACCCCATTGTGTTCCAAACTTGATAGATTCCTGTTCACTACTGATTGGGAGGAACATTGGGGTCCTAGTTTTTTTTAGCATATTTCGAACTAGAGAGAAACAAAGCTGAGAAAGGACCATTATGTCCCTCTCTAAGAAAACATAAAAAAATAATGAAGTGCACATATGATACAACATAAAAAGGTGCTCCCCTAAAAGCCAAAAAAGGAAAATGTTAGTGTTGACAGTACAGGGGTATTTTGGTCTTTTGGTTTGTCTAGTTGAAAGTGAAAGGACTTCTTTATTCAAGTTTAAGTTATGTGTCCCATCACTTATAAGGGACAATACTGTCTTTTTGTTACTTAATATTTTTTGGGAAAAGTTAATGTAAAATTTTATTGATAGAAAAAACTTGTACAAAGTACAAAGGTCCCCCAACTAAACACTTTAGAAGGGGACATAGCCCAAATATAACAACACTACAGATGCCATAGGCTCCTAGAATTCAGCCTAGCCCCCAATTCAGCAGCCTGGATTCCCTTCGAGGCTGAAATCCAAGAAATCAGCTTTCCAACAGATGGAAATCAAGTCTTCCGGATCCTTATAGATATTCTGAAATAGTCTTTTGATCCTTTCTGCCCAAATGGTGCTAATGACTGCAGCCGGAATGGACATCCACACAGCTGAAGCAAGCTTTGACAAACCCAGTGATCCCCAGCTCCACAACATCTCCTTCATCGAAGCTGGCATTGACCAAGCAAGACCCACCAAACCCAGAAAATGATTCCATATTCTATCAGAAATTGAGCAATGTAGAAACAGATGGCTGCTATCTTCCACTACTTGACCACATAACACACGCCTCTGGTCCTGGATATGAACCCCTCTTTTACATAGGTGGGCTTTAGTTAAACACCTGTGTAGAACTGCAGCCCACACTAAAGCATTGATTTTTGAGGGAGCAGTTGGATTCCAGATTCTGGAAGCAGACATATCTTCAGCAATGCTTATTGTCATGTGAGTGGCAAATGACTTGACTGAAAAAAGGCCATCTGAACTCCAATTCCAAGACCAGCTGTCTTCTCTGAGCAGATTTAGGGGTTGAAGAGAGAGCAGTTCTAGTAGATCAGCCAATGCCGGAATTTTCCAATCCTGAAAATTCCTTCTGAAAGAAGGGCTCCAGACTACCGAGTTTCCCACCACCTCAAAACAATCAGCAACCACTGGATCTTGATGGTCAGCTAACTGGAATAGATGTGGGAATCTCTCTGAAAGAATAGTATTTCCACACCAGGGATCTTTCCAAAAGGACAGCCTGTCACCCTTTCCAAGGATGGGGCTTAAGCCTCTACTGAAAATAGGTAGAATGTCCATTATTTTCCTCCATATCGAACAGCCTAGGGATGGGGGAGAAGAAGTGGTAATCTAATTTCCTCTGTCTGTATTGTATTTTGATGCCATTAACTTCCTCCACCAGTGATCTCTTTCCAACCCAAGCTTCCAGATCCATTTCCCAAGAAGAGCCTTATTAAAGGTCCTCATTTTCCTTACACCCAAACCTCCTTTACTTTTCAGAGAGCACACCTTGTCCCTACTCACCAAGTGGATTTTCTTCCTATCCTCCTCCCATCCTTTCCATAAAAAGTCCCTTTGCAGCCTCTTAATCCTTTTGGCCACTTTACTTGGGATTGGAAATAAAGAGAGATAGAATGCTGGCAAGTTGGATAAGAAGCTTTTTAACAAAGTAACTCTACCCCCCAAGGACAAGTATCTAGCTTTCCAGGATGCCAATTTCTTTTCTATCCGCTCTAAAACTAGTTCCCAGATCAGAGCTGAATTGCATTTTGCTCCTAAGGGGAGTCGCAGATATTTTGTTGGGAGGAATCCCACCTGACACGCTAACCTCTCCGCCAAGTCCTCTACATTTTCCACTTTTCCCACTGGGATCAAGCTGCTCTTACTCCAATTGACTTTCAGACCCATCACCACTTCAAACCAGCTTAGAACTCCCACTTAGAGATCTAAGTGTTCTTCATTGGCTTCCAAAAAACATAGGGTGTCATCTGCGAATTGCAGAACCTGAACCTTCTCCCCTCTTGGCACCACCTCAAAGCCCTTCCACCCCCCCCCCTCCCCTACTTTTTGTAACTTAATCTATTCACTATAAATACAAAGTGGATCGGCTAGAGTGGGTGACTTTTCCTCTACAACCGAACCCTTCTTTTCTTTCTTCTCTTCTCTTCTCTTCTCTTCTCCTTCTCATACTTCTAATCTGAACTGAATAAGATTATTTCACATGGTATCAGAGCAAATATAACAAGTTCAGATCTGCTCCTTTTTTTTTATTTACCCAGTTTTTTTTATCGCCCTTTTCTCTAGGGTTACGCAGATTTCTCAAGAATCATTGGGAGATTAAGGGAGAGGCTGCAAAGGAGTGATCGTTTTTCTCTGTAGGAGGCCTTCATGCCTCCAATTCATGGTGCGGTGGTTGTTTGTGGTGATTGGTAGGAAGCTCTCTATTCGATGGTACAAAGAGAGCAGGTTCGAGTGGAGCAGTGTTCAATCCAGTGCAGGTTGGTTCTGTAGTATGCAGTACAGGTGTTCGATTTGATGGCTGATTGATTACAGCCCTTGTATTAGGTGTGTGATGTGGATTTGAAGAAGTCGGTAGTGCTGAAAGTGAGTTAGGGTTTTGTGGTGGTGCGTGGAGTTGTGCTGAATAGTCAAAGGTGAATACTTTGTTTATAACAGTGGTTTCTTTGTGAAGTGAAGTGAATTAGTTAAGATGGCATCAACTAGAGATGGGAATGACAATAAAACAGGTGTTATGATTTCTCTAGATTACTTAAATGTTCAAATGACATCGATTAAGTTGAATGGTGAGAATTATGTGTCGTGGGCCAAATCAGTAGAGGTGTTTTTAA